TTTTTGAGCTTGGGATATCTGTCCATCAGGAACTGGACTGATACTGCCAAACTCATTTTACACTGGCCAATGAATAGCCACCTGCTGGTAATAACTCAGCCTAGAGCAGTGGTTCTCACACTTTTGTACTGGTGACCCCTTTCACATAGCAAGTCTCTGATCATGACCCCCCTTATAAATTAAAAACACTTTTTTTATAAATTTAACACCATTATAAATGCTGGAGGCAAAGCAGGGTTTGGAGTGGAGGCTGGCAGCTCGGGACCCCCCATGTAAATCAGTGGCCTAGAGGTGAGACCCCCATTTCCAGTCCCTTGAAACATCTCAGCTCTGCCCATGCCCTGACCCACTGAATCCCCTGCAGTTATTTCATTTGTGTGTAGTACAGTCATTATTCAAAACAGGCCTGCATGAATGGAAATCTAAATCATTACATACCTGAGGCCAAATAGCACTAGGAGACTCTTGCTGGGACCCTTTGTTATTTAGATGGATACCGGAAGGTGCTAAAGGAGTTCGATGAGAGCCAGCGTTACCTACAGAATTAATTTCCTGCCGTGTAGTATCCTCTAGTGCCTCTGCCACACTCAGGCCAACGTGGGAGTTCATCAGAACTTGAGATCTATTGTCATTCTGGTATTGCTTTTGTGGATCGGTGTCTTCTTGCTGCTGCTGTTGTTGCAATACACTTTGTGGATACAAATGCCTATACTGCTGCTGTGGATCCTGATAGAAATACTGAGGCATTGATCCCAACTGTATAAGCTGTACAGGATGAGCTTGATCCTGGGAGTACTGGTGTGTTTCATGCACAGTTTTTGGGTCAGAATCCCTATGATAGGCGGGAAGATGCAGTTGCATCTGTTGTTGCTGCTGCTGCTGCTGCTGCAACTGTAACTGCTGCATAACTGGTTGTGTTTGATAATACTGAGCTATTTGCATTGGACACTGCCTCTGCTGTTGCTGCCGACTTTGTTGCTGCTGCTGCTGGATCTCTTGTATTGAGAGCCGCTGCTGTCCCTGCTGTGGCTGTTGCTGCATATAATATTGAGACTGCTGCAACTGTTGTATCTGTTGCGGTAACAGCTGCTGAGACTGCATTTGTTGCACATGTGGTTGTCCTTGTTGCATTGCAGAATGCATTTGTAGCTGAGATAAGTGTTGCTGGTAATCATAATACAACTGTTGTTGGTGCTGCATGACTTGCATTTGCTGCTTTTGCTGAGTGCTTGCAAAATTCTGGTGTACTTGCTGTGGCCCTTGCTGATATCTTTGCACAGTGGAAGTTACAGATTGTTGCTCAACAGCAGGCTTCTGAGACAGCAGCTGTCTAAGTGCACTGTCACTGGCATTATCCATCACTGAAGACTGAGCATGCAAGACCTGAGCCATATTGTTGACTTGAATTCTTAAATTTTGGTTAGCAAATACTTGTGTAAAGGAGTCCAATTTATGTAAAACTCCACTAGTAAGTTTTTGTGACCGAAGTTCATTGGCTTGAGAATAGGAATACTGGTATCCATCAGCAGATTCACTCTGCCCTAACGGGCTCCACATGGCATTCTGATTGTTCCTTACTGGAACGTGGTTTCCTGAGCCAGTATGTGTCCAACTTGTTTGTCTAGAGGAGTCCACTGACCCAATGTTTTTTGAACCTACATTCAAAGCTATGCTGTCTCTTGAATCCTGGGGGAATTGGGGAGAGAGGGGAGAAGCCTGAGAAGCATCCATGCCTGGTGTTCCATAGTTGTGATTTAAAGGGGGGAGAGAGTTCATTTGGTGTGGTTGGTAATACAAATTCTCATTGCTGTTGGCAGTGTGGTTAGGTTTGTACAACTGCTGGTCCCCCATTTTTGGTCACCTTTATCCTGATCTTACAGGCACAAAAACCATAAACTTGTAGACCCTGAGATATTCCAAGTACGGGGAAAAAATTGCTAGAATTTGTTATTATTCAGCTTGTCCATTTACATTACAAGGACTAATTCCTTCTGGTCTGTTTGCAATTCCAATTTCAGATTAAGGCTGCTTCACATCTTTGAAAAAGTCCAAAACACAAATCTTAAACGAAAACAATAGATTCACTCTGCCAGATACCTGTGAAGTGAGAGAGAAATAGTTTAAGTGCATTCTACACAACTTTTGCGGTTTCCTTTGATGTAACAACAACCTAATGGGGAAAAGGATATAATCTTATGAACAGTTGTAGCAGTTGGGCTATTCCATAGCAATGGATTGCTTCATCTCATCCCACTATTCCTTCATTACATCCCATTATAGTGTTTCTACAGTTCTCTAGTAAAATCACTTTGCTTCATCAATGAAGGTGTGCTTCCAAAACCTCTCCTTTACACACACACACACACACACACACACACACACTCTCTTACTTAGCTGGCCATATATAGCACTCAGGTGCAGTTTTTAACCAGAGACTAAACCAGGGGTAGACAGCCTATGGCACATGTGCCGAAGGCAGCACGTGAGCTGATTTTCAGTGGCACTCTCAGTGCCCGGGTTCTGGCCACCGGTCTGGAGGGCTCTGCATTTTAATTTAATTTTAAATGAAGCTTCTTAAACATTTTAAACACCTTATTTACTTTACATACAACAATAGTTTAGTTATATATTATAGACTTATAGAAAGACCTTCTAAAAACGTTAAAATGTATGACTGGCACGTAAAACCTTAAATTAGAGTGAATAAATGAAGACTCGGCACACCACTTCTGAAAGGTTGCCGACCCCTGGACTAAACTATGAGAAAGAGACTCATTTCTAGTGTTCCCAGTCTGCTAGTCAGAGACAACAAACACATGTATAGTAAACTCTAATTCACAAACTCCTGAAGATATCACAGATGGCTATGTCTGATAACACAACTGAAAGGAAGTGGTGGCTTGGAATCCAAGTGCCAGCACTGAGTTGTAGTAGGGATGGGGGAAGATGGGGGACAGTATGATTTAATTCTGATTCAGAATTAACATAGTGGCTCCAACGCCGCCACACAACATCAGGGCTTGTTTTATTCCATATTATTTTTACAGAGGTGTGGAATGAAGAAGAACAAGTCTGCTATTGGGTTGAAGATACAGCATTGTGTATGTCTCTGAGGAGTAATATGCAAGGCTAGGGTGCTTGTTAAAGTGACAATAAAATCACAAAAGCGGTTACACCAATCACCTCTGTACACACAGAGTCATTTACTCATCTTCTATATGGACTTTTAGTAATTGCTAAGACAAATCAAGCTGTCCAAATTGTCAAGTGGTAACAGCACGTATCTGTCACAAGCAACCTCTTGATGTACCTAGCAGGTACCAAGTTCTAACTTCCATTCTGCCCTCTCCCTTTTTTTTTCCCCCCAGTTGTCCATCAATTCCTTAATATTTTAGCAGACTGGTTTATCCTGAATGCTCACAAGATAAGGATGACAAATGAGAACTGTAATTCAGTGGGAATTAACTGATTTAAAAATGTCTGTACTGTTTTGGATGCAATTTAAAAAAAGAAAATACATTTGTGTGTTCTTGGGATGTTTATCATTTTGTGGATGGGAATGATATCTCTCTCTCTCCACACACACACACACACACACACACACACACACACACACACACACAC